TGACCTTACTTTTTTTCTATGATTCCTTATTTATTTTAATAGCAGCAGAGTGCTCTACCTCCCCTGTCATTTTCAGTAGATTCGAAGGAATAAATATCGTCCACAGCTAGTAAATCTCAAAACCTTTATCAACATGTGGGAAATAAGTGTTGCCTCAGACACACTTACCCTAGGATGGGATTATTGCTTAAAGATGATAATATTGTGGAATAATCCTTTTATAAATATTCTTTTATAACAAGCCATTTTTAGAAAAAAAACTTAAGAAACCTGCAGGTATAAACATTTATTTCAGCTGTAGAAACTGATACTTTAAGCTTTAAAGTCTGTAATTCCACTTAGTATCAAAATTGATTCATGAGCCTGTGGTTTGAAATAATTTTTAATACAAAGACATTAATTTAAATTTTTTCTTATTATTTAGAAGTAAAGAATGCAGCTAGACCAAGTTGCCCAAAATGTTCATATCAATTCAAGAATGCAACTACTAAGGCATTGGTTGGTGCCAAGTCCACTGAAGGAATCCCGGAACCTGTTCCACTTGTTAATAACCGTAAAGGGAGCCTCTTCCTACCCAACAACCCCTCGCTGCTGCATCTTAACTTATTGAGTTCTGTTGAACAAGGAAAATCTACGTACTGTAGATTGCAAAGGGCACTCACCTTGCCTGTAAAATACCGCTACCACTCCCAAAAGCCTGGGTTGAACCAAGATCTCCGTAGGTAGCCCCATAGTTGGATGCATAAGGCAATATAGATTGGTTTGTGCATGGTTTTGCAGTCTGTTTTCAATGTGACTATGACATTACTAATGCTCTGTTAAGTGCTTACAGATGTGGGTTTCTCCAGATGTGGTGATTAATAAGTTAATCGAGATAGCTAGTCAACTAATGTTTCTGGGTGGTTTGTGCTTTACCTTTCATATGGTTTTTTTGCTCTGAAGCATTTATGTGCTAGGAAGAATGAGTTTACCAGGTATTCCAGTCTGTGTGATGTTCAGTAACATAGATGTTATTTCAAATTCCAGCTCTTTCTGGGGTCTAAAAAACAGTGTCTGTAAACTGTTCTGCTAGTGACCTGGGAGAGCCAGTAAAGGAGACAGATTTATTTAAAAAACAGTAACAAAATAACAAAGAAAAAAGTTATGAACTTGTCCACTGTTTCTGAATGACATTCCCTTTATTTTGCTTAAAAAATGAGATGAGGATAAAAGTCAAGTAATATGTTGTTACAGATGTTCAGCTCCACATTAGGGCTGTTAAAATTACCAGCACATCTTAAATCAATTCATGGAACATTGTCTGGAGGTTATGTCATTGAAATAATGAATTCTCTTTACTCAAGAATAAGCAAACATGTTAAAACATCAGTGTAACTTTAAATTAAACTCCAGCATAAACTGGAGCATCTGAAGCCTCATTAGACTCGCCTGACATTTTTCTAGCACTGAGTCTTCCTGAACTGCAAAACTGTTAGATTCTCTGCCTATTAGGCAAGTGAGCACTGGGTTGTTACAACAGTACATTAAGTATTATACTTAGGGATGTGCTATAAAATTATGTGTCCAATTCTTGAACTTGCAATTTTCATGAAAGCTGGTAAAGAAAGTCTGCATAATATAATATGACTGTATTTTAATACAAGTCCTGTAGCATAAAGACATCAAGAATACTAAAAATGGGGACTCATTAACAAAAGCGCTAAGTCAAACATACATCATCAGAGTTGAGCTGTCATAGATCACAGCCCATTATTCAAATATGGTTGTCTTTCATAAGAACAAGCAAATTTAAGGCTCTCTTTTAAATTAATGCAGATACAGGAACCATGAAACTAAAATGATATTTTATGGCTTTACTAAAAATTTTGCTAGGTCTGTTTCTTTAAATATGCAGGAAATTGATAAGAGTATCTGAAGGTCAATAATTAAATATGTTTTATGTCCTACTTTCAACTAAGAAGCCACTTGTGAGTTATCATTGCAACACTTTTGGGAATGAAGCCATAGGTAATGGTGTCCGTTATATACCATTCACATATTTCAACTTCATGGATTCCCTTCCCCCATTCTTATGGAGCTGTGTTTCTAAACTGCAGATGCCCTGTAAACTCTGCACACAGATTTCATTGAAAAACAAAACCTTGTTTGGATGTGATGTGATTAAGATAGATCACCTTTCATTGCTGCAATGAGAATAAATGGCGTCCTTGCTTAAGCAAGGCATTGCTTTAGCAACAAATTGAGATCCCTCAGAAGGCTCTGCTAACAGGTATTAACTAGTGAGCCACATTAACCTTGGGCTTCCCAGGCAATTGGTGACAGTAACATAGCTTGAATATGACAAGCACGTATCAAAAGAGGGAGCTTGTTTTTTGTAGGTGCAGAACCAAAAGTAAGTGCAGATTGCTAGAAATCTAGTTCTAGAAATGGTTACTCTGGATGACTACTAGTAAGATTCTGTTTTTTAATTGGACAGCAGGGTAGTATCACCTGGCAGCACTGGAGAACACAAATGTTGGACCATATACTAGAAAAGATCCCTATTGTACTAACTTTCAGTATTTGAAAGGATCAGATGGGAGTCTTATTAGCTAGCTTGAAAACTTGGGAAAGTACTCTTTTTTTAATAGTGTTTTCTGTTGTTTGTAGAAATATTTCTGGCTATAATATGATCTACAATTGACTTGTGTTAATGTACGATTTTGCACATGGTCCTGATGGCTATATATCTTCCTTAAACTGTTTAAATTGTGTAACAATATGCTTTACTTATGGTGCAAAACTGAATCTCTTGACAAACGTTCTGTAACCCCATGGTAGCAGATTAAATTAAGTGAAATTTAGAATTTTTACTACCAAGAGAGCAAAACATATTAGTTGTAGCTGGTTTCTGGAAGGAACATTTTGCGTGGTTCTTGTTCCTTTGATCTTTTAATTAGTGGAATCATCAGATTGGAACTGAATATTTATATCCTATAAAGAACAAGAGAGCACAGTGTATATCTTGAAAGCAACCTATTGTCTGTGTGGAAAAGCATGTGAATAACTTTTTGATAGACAAGATTAAAACAAGACTAGGCCATTTCCAAGAGAGTGATTTTCAGAGGGTGTTCTGAAATGCACACATACTTGCATTTTGTTATAATCAGAAATAGAAAGATATTACTAACAAAATAATTCTGTGCATATTCACTTCATGTTACAAATAGCTAAATACCGAAGTGATCTAGTTTAATCCAAACAAACTGTCACAGAAAGGAAATTTCAATTTGTATATTTTTGAGAATTTTCTATGCGCTTATTTATCTCTCAGCCAAACAAAGACTGGTACTTGACTAATCATCAATAAGCATTTCCACTATAGGACTCTGACTTGGAAAAAAAAGTCAAATGAGAAGGAAATGGCTTTGTCTTTGGGGATGCTGCCCAAAAAGAAAGCTAAGTTTGTAAAATAAATCATTATTAGACAGTCATTTCTCTGATCTAAGTATTACCTTTTACACCACTCTTTGGAGCATTTATTTTGGGGTTAGCTTTTTTGGGGGGGGGGGTCTGTTACAATGCTTTCTTTTGTTTTGATTCTCTTGATGTGTTAGGTGATGCCAGGTCATTTAAAAAGACAGCACATCTGTCTTTTCGGGGCTCAGTCCTTCAGTCTTGACCAAGGCAAAGTGAAGTTCTGTAGCAGACTTGGGCAAACAGACAGACATGACAGGCTAGAATGCAGTCTATAATAAAATTGTGTCAGGAGAGAGTTATAGCAGAAGGATATTGCTTAATTTCTTCCCAGATAAGTCGAGGGCAGGTGACATATATCCAGGTTTTGTTGTTGTTCCTATGTAGCTTGTTGCAAATAGAATTTTTTTCCCAGCCTCTGCTTGTGCACTGCTAATGTGTATTAAGCTCTTTTAATATAGCTGCTACTACTAATCTCTTTCCTTTTAGCTTTAAAGTAACAGCTTTCTAGGCATCAGTTATATTATCTTCTAGTTAATTTTTCAGTTAACAATAAGATGGGAAAAAAAGTGTATTTTTCCTTCTTTATATTAGAATGATTCAGCATTAGTGTGAATTTGAGAAAGTAGGCATAAGATAATTCCCTTTGAGAGCACATGTATGTTATGCACAGATTATCAAGTGCAATAACAATCTCGGAACAGTAAAGATGACGGTTAATTCTTATAGACGAGTTAATAGGAAGCAGCACTTGTTTAAGAAATATGTATTGTGACATAGGTTATCCAAGAGTAGTTTATGATTGGCAAAACCGTAGGTGATTTTACATCTGGAAATTGATCTGTCATTGAAAATGCAACTCATCCTCATTAAAAGATTGCATAACACATGCATCCTCTGTTTATACAGGTATTGTCTCCCCACTTCCATTCAACCTCATTCTGTTCATTCCTGTTAAAACTCCCTTTTGTGAGAAGGGTAGAGCGATGAGGTCTGACTTGTGCTGAAGATCTGTGCACAATGGCAGGCTGCGTTCACGTTCCCGACTAACTGAATCATTGAACATCAAGGCATTGAATATTTTACATCTCTTCATGAAGACTCTGTTGTTTGGCATGTGAGGAGCAAGAACCAACTGGTGTCTAGTTCATTAGCAAAAGCAGGCTGACAGCTGTTATATTGGTATTGCAAATAGTACTTTATCTTTCTGGGAATATAGCAGAGCACTAATTCTACTTTTCTGTAGCGCAGATTAACTGAAAATAACTCTTAAGAATAACCCGAATGTGGTTCCCCCCCTTTGTTTTTGAAGTATGAAACCAATTTGAACGCCTGTGTTCAAAACCCTGGTATTCTTCCCTGCTTCTCCGTCAAACCAATCTCTTTGACTAACATGTATTTGATTTTTATTACTGTTGGGCCTATATTAGCAATGAAGTATCAGTGCGTGAGTGGACATAGAGTGTGTGTTCTTTGCTACTTCACTTGTATTTCATATTGCACTTAGAGCGGTACTTAATCTCATGAGTTCCTTATATTTCCAGTTGAAGATGAGCAGCCATCGACACTATCACCCAAAAAAAAGCAGCGAAACGGAGGCATGCGAAATTCACCCAACTCCTCACCCAAACTGATGAGGTAAGACTGTAAGAAACTCGTATCTTCATCTCCTTTCTTCCTTCCTTCCTCTTCTCCTCCCCCCACATCAAAAATAGGGGAGGGGGTGGAAAAAAAAAGATTCTTAGATGGTTTCTGAAAGGCTGAAGTATTTATTCTGTCAGCTTGTCAGCAGTTAATGATAGAGCTGAAAAAAATTCTGTCATGAAAAACAGTTTGAAAAGCTGTTTGAAAAATACATAGGCTTTAAAGTCTTAGCTGTCACCCTGTCCTGTCCGTGTGTAGTTCTTAAACAGCAGTGGCACTAATGATAGCACTAACCAATCAGGGGAACTCATGTGGTTAGTTTGCCTCAGGCAATTCTCTTTTTGTTGGATTCCCTCTGAGTACTGTTTTCTGTACTTAAGGCCATATGTGAGATGTATCATCACAATCAAAAATGAACCTGAATATTACCTTCCTTTTATCCTGTCGATTGAAATCAAATTTCTGTTAATTGATTTAGACTGATAAAAAAGTCTAATAATCTATGTACTTGCCAAAGCAAAGTTCAAAACTAATGCAGTTTTACTCAGGCTAAAAGCACATCAATTATGAAATACAGGGATTTTTAAGAGGGTAGTATATACTCTAAAAGTGAGTGATGAAAACATCATCTTGTTAGTGATACTTTCCCCTGTTGCTATGTGTACATTATTTTACACCAGTATGCCTTTGTATAACTATGTAGTTTCCTTCCGTAGAACAAATTACCTCTAAGACATTTGTTAAAATTAGAACTGCAACAAGAAATTGAAATATCTTCAAATAATATGGCGTTTGCATTCTGTCTCACTGTGCTTCACCTTTTGCCTGCTCTAGTCAGTCAGAACAGGATCAGATAGTAGACATGGAGTTTTCTACAAAGAGGCTGTTCCAGCTCTGATTTTGCATATCTAAAGTAGCCAGGCTAGAACCTCAGTCCGTAATTGTATCCAGAACTAAATACCATAGCAGAGATTTTACACAGCATATATATATGCACACAGAAAAATGTAAACTTATTTGCATATATAAACAGACACATTTGTGCAGTTTGGGGTTTGGGTGTATGTATAACTGTAACTGCTCTGCATTCACAGAGGTTAAGTGAAAAAAATTAAGTTGAATATATAGTTCTTTCCATCTATAAAATCACTCATGACTTTTCTTTTATTGTTGGCAATGATTTTGTTTCTTTAAGGATTCTGGATACAGCTAGGTAATATTCCTCCCTTGCATTTCAGTCAATAGACAGGAATTTTCTTTGGCCAGTTACAGAAGCATCCATATTTGTTTATTGTTACTGCAATATAGGGCATATTCAAGGACGTAACATCTACAAGTCGTCTTCATCTCTGTTTAGACTACAGAACCAAAAGTGAGATTGATTCACAGAGGAAAATGCACCCAGCTGTGGCTTTTTTTTTCCTATTGACCATCTATTTCTGTTAAATGTATCATTAAAAGTTCTCTGCCTTCCTGTTAGCTCAGCGTTGCCCATATGACACTGATTTACATGCTTGTTTACAGTTTATGAGGAAGAATAAAATGAACATACTGGCAAGCTTCTCATTTTTATGGTGCCAGTTGTCATGCTAGCATCATTTTCAATTTACTTACTTTTGGACAGTCTTCTTATCTGGTGCTAATAGTTTTAACCACTTAAAGTTTTAAACAGGTAGGAGATTCCCCCTCTACACCAAACCCTACTTTTGGGGAAGTAGAAATAAAAAGAAAGAGAGGGAGAGAGAAAGAGAAAGAGCTGAAACGTTTGGAGCTGAGCACACTGTCCCTGTTTGCTATGTAAAGTATGCCTCATTTCTTTGATCTTGAGTAATAATAATTCTGGGGAGTTATACTGTTTTCATATGCTTCAAAGCTGTGTCAAAGTTTTGCTGCTTAAGGGTACTTCTTTATTCTATTGGCTCTTGGGTACTGAGATGACAGGTCCTCTGTACTAGGTGCAGGCTTTTTCAAGTCATAGCCTTCAGCAAAACATCAAATTACCAAATACAGGGTAACATACTTCTACACAAATGCCTTTCCTGTAGATATATTATACCATATATATTAAATACTTTAGTGTTACACGGTACATTTTATGTGCAATAGAAAGTGATGGTTTGAGGTAGCCTTAGGGGTACTTTTTTCCACAAGCAGAAGAAGCTAGTGTATACCGTATCAAGTATGGTTTTTACAGGACTTTCTGCCCGAAGGCCTTTGTAAATAAGTAATGATCAACAGATTGGCTGTGGGTTTTTGAAAAGCATGCCTATGTCAGTTTGCATGATGGGGGAAGATTTTCAAAGTACAGCCTGCTTTCATTGCCTGCTGAAGAGGGACTGAGGGAGAGTAGTCGTCCTGAGCCTGAGCTGTCTGCTCAGTAACACATCAGAATTGCTAAACACAGGTCGAGCAGTGAGTGGAGAACTTACCAGGCTTCCAGATCCAGACATTGTTTTCTTCCTCCTCTCCCTTGCTGCTAAATTTATTCACCAGCACCCTCAGCCTCTCCCCAGACCCAACCATCTCTTTGTCTTACCCTTTATCTGCACTGACTTAACTTTGGTTCAAGGTGCTAAATAAGACAAAGTGGATCGAATCAGAAGAGAACTCTGTTAAGCTTTGTGGGTAATGGCCAAACGCTTTTCTCCTTTCCGATAAACAAAGGTGGGCTGTATTATCTGCTATTTTGTATCCTCGTAAATTACCTAAAGTGACGGGTACTTGCTTTCCTGCCTGGAAATCTTTAGTGTATGTCAGCTAAAAGTACACAAGAGGTAAATCAGCTAAAGCACTGTCATGTCTGTAGCTGATACTTATCTTTGCAATATTTTTCCTAAATTTACTTTAAAAGCTCCTTTTCAAAGCCAGCTTCACCCCTGTCCCTCCCACAGAAACATCTGGCTACTTTGCAGACTTTTCCTCAGCCAAGGTCCTGGATCTAGAGGGGGGCTGGAGGACAAGAAGTCTGGAGTGTGTGAAGGAGGAATATGTGAAAAGTTCATTTTTAAATTGTAATCAGAGTTGTCACTTTAGAATCACTTTCTGAGCAGCCCTACAGTTAAGATAATGTTGAAAACGCTACGTAGATTTTAGGTTTCCACAGTGGCTGGGGCAAATCAGGGGAGAGGGTATTATGCCATGAGGTAAAACTTTATGACTTCTCCTATCACTGCAGTAGAACAGAGGACAGAACCTGTATTGTAGGGATTCTCTGGGACATCATGACAAGAGGTCTGACAGGTGCTTATTTAGACCTGGTCTGAAAGTGGGAATTTTTGAGATTTACTCACACCTAAGTAGAAAGCTGTATTACCAAATATGATCCAGATAGATAGATTGAAGACATCCTTTCAATGTCATCTTTTTGATGTTATTGTCTTTAAATGCCAGTAAATTACTAATTGAAATAAATAGATGGTAGGTATACAAATGTTCTTTGTATACATCACAAATGGTCTAGATTCATATTCAGAAAGTCACTGTTGTAACTGAATCCTGCATCACATCAAACAACATGGGCAGAATCACACTGATGCAATACTGGAAGAATCTAGTCAATCAGAAACAAATCCTTCAAATTCCAACTATAGCTACAAATGCAAATTAACTAGAAAAATACTCTGCATTGCCATTGTTATTTCTATCTGTTTTACATCAGCAGAAGTCTGTCCCATTAAACCCACAAGAATACAGGTATTATTTAAAAATAACTTAAACTCCAACAGGAAAAAATGGATTCTTCTCCTCTGGAGATGTGAACAGGGAGATCCTATTACCATAAAAAGTAAAGTTTAAATAGGAAGTGGAAGGAAAAAGAAGGAAAGCTGTGAGTAGCAGAGTAATCACATATCAGGTCTCCTTCTTCATGAGACAGAGAAGAAAAGTAGAACCATTTGATGCCTCTGGTGTCATGCAGTGATATCAAGTCACCTGTTCATCATCTCACAGTCAGAGTTTTCGATGCATGTTGTTGATGAAGAGTCACATTAAATATGAGGAGGCTATATCGCCCGAATATCAAATAGCAAAGCTAGTTTTTTAAAAAAAGTGTCATTTTGGATTCCAGAATGACCAGTAGAAATGTGAAAAGCCCTGGATATGAATCAAAAAAGCCACTTATAAGGATTGTTGCTGGGGCTCAAGTCCACACTTAATGCTTTGGTAGCTGCTACTGCATGAGTGGAATACACTGACTTGAAGGAAATGTCAGCCCAGCTGAGTCAAACTACCTCTTAATGCAAGAACAAATAGCATATGACAGGGCCCAAGGGGCCTGAAGAGCAAACAAATAGTTTGTCCCTGTCCACTCTGAATGTAGTGGTATAGTTGACATAGGCCTCTAGACAAGTAGCATACTCAGCAAAGGGTCATTATCATTAGTGTCCCTGATCACATAAGAATCAGAGGCATCAGAGGACACTGGGTTTTCAGTGTGTTGCCAAGGAGAATTTCGTAAGCCTGAGGTTTTTTCTTGGTCAAGGATCTAAAATAATTCCCAACCAAACTATAAAACTTGCTCAGAGACTGTCAAGACCCAGCTAAGTCACACAGAAAAAAGTGAGGGTTTTGGCATACATTTCCAGAAATGTAATGAGATTATTTACCTGAAGTTGAGGGGGAAACCTCCTGGTTTTTTTTCCTGAAGTTGGATATAATGTTCTAAGTATATGAACAATGGCTGTGCACATTTATCTCCTCATCTGCCCACCCAGCTACATTCACTCAAATGTACATACACCTCTGCTAGTGCCACTCGGGATGAATTTGTATTGCCCCTGCCATTGTAGTGCTGCCCTTCCTTGAGCCGAAACTGTGAGCTTTCTCATAGGAACCAAAAGAAGTGATGGGAGGTCTAGAGGGGAACATTTCTCAAGCAAAAACTGGTAAAATAAGTTCAATCTGATCATTTTCCATGACTCCACTAAACCAGGCATGAAAGGAAGTTTTGAAGAGGTGAAAGCTCACTGATTAACCATAATAGTGGTTTATATTTA